TTTTTTAGGAGCAGACAAACATCCATAGAAGAAATTGCAAGGAGTTTGTCTTTGTTTGTAGGTCATACAAGAAGGACTTTTTTTTTTTTCCCCCTGTTTAACCCAGCTAGTGACCCAAGCTTGCTTCTTAGCCATTACTTTCATAGGGGCTGAACAATGCAGCCTTGATATCTTGGCAGTTTGACTGCAGAGAGTATTAAAAAAAAAAAAAAAGGGCGGAGCAGGGTAAGCATTAGAAACTTCACGGTTTATCTCTGTAAAAGGCATCAGGACCCAAATCTGTTTCTAAGTGATTTACAGAGCCACAGTGTGGACTTACAGTTGTTCATACATCTAACTTTCTGCTCAGACCAAGATCATGATGTACAAATCTGCTGGGAAGCTAAATGTCAAGAAATGCATGTAAACTTATTAAATCTTGCTTTTAGTTATTTCTTGCTTTTAATATATTCAAGAGATTCTAAAGGAATGAGATGTCTTGATCATTCAAGGAATGTGTGCACATGATGGATTACAGAAGAAAAGGCCTGGTAATAAATACCATCTTGTCGCTGTGCTAGATGTATAGAACATAACCGGGACCATCCACCTCAGAATACACTGATTCTGATATTATCAAAGTAAGTGATAGGCTGTCATAATTTGTTTTTTATTAAATATTTAACTTGATATCCAGGTTTATAAAGGCATTTTTTTTATTCACAGGACAGCAATGGTCTGGTTCAAATGCTAACTCTTGGAATATATAAGAGTAGAGAGCAATTTTAAAAAGTATGCTCTGTAAGAGGAGAAAAAAAAGAAAATACTCCCAAGAAAGGAGGGATGGTACGTGAGGCTGTAAAAATTACAAAGCTTTTCTAGAAAGAAAATGAAACCAAAACGAGAGAATGTGTGACAGCCAATTTAGCATTCAGATACAGTTTCAGACATTGCATCATTGCTGTATTTTGCAACAGGTGGTATGGTATTTAAGATAACATTACATAGTCATCCTGCAGTTTAACTTGGAAAAGATTTGGTCTCTTTGAAACTTTATGTAGTTAAGCCAGTGCTATATACAAACTACAAATCACTTAAAATTACTGTCATGATGGGAGAAGTGGGAGAGGTAAGCCGTAAAAGGCATATTACAGCCTAAAAGCTATTACTATTGGATTAGCAACAACATGTATTTGATAGCTAGGAAAAACATGCTGAATATTGGTATGTAGCTAGTTCTTAACGACCAAGTGCAGAAGAGACACAAAGCGTCACTTCATGCTTGGGGGCTGCACTGGCCTCTGTTGAGGCTTTAGGAGCGGAGTGCTACCTCTCCTCTGTGGCACAGCTCACCAGGGTTAACATAAAAGCATGTAATGTTGAGCGGACAGCTTCTAGAGCAGTCTGTGAGGAGTATCAAAACTGCCCAAACAATCTCCTGAGACAACCTACCTCTATAAATACTTTTGCTATATCTTATTAAAAGGAACAGCTACCAAAATACAGTATTATTAAACTTTCAAGGTTCCTGTGGGATTGGTATTTGGCCTTGTGATTCCTTGTTCATTTGACAGCAATTGCTGTGCTGTCAAGTATTTTAAACTAGTTAAATAAGGAGACAGTAGATGCTTTCAAACATTTACAATTTAACAGCCTGGGAGTTTTGTTTGAAAGGACATGAATGTTTTGATTTTGGTTTCTTTTAGTTAGGCTCTATTAGAATAGTTCTAGTCTAATTCTCCCCCCCCCTGCTTTTTTTTTCTCCTAAAACTACTGAAGAACATACATAGAAGAAATCCCCAGTGCTGCTTTGCTCCATCACTGCCAGCTTGGCATTCAAAATGAATAAGGAAAGCAAATTAATGGCAGCTTTTCAAAGTCCTGCTTTTGATGTGGATACTTGTGCATACAAAATGTCCTATCAAACCCACACACAACTTCCAAAACATGTTTTTACCTGTTAAACAGGCACCTTGACAGTTTCTTACAAATGTACAGCCACAGAAATACAGTAATAGTTCTCAGTTTCTTACAAACGTACAGCCACAGAAATACAGTAATAGTTCTCTGGTCCAGCATTATACAATAAGCAACTTTGAGATCAGATTAAGTCCCTTAATACAATGTGAAAAACATACCCCATAGACGTATAGAGAGTTCCCCAAACAGGAGCAAACACCCAGTTAGGTGGACACCAGGATGGCTTCTGTAGAGATTCATACCACACTGGGATTTCCTTTTTGGTTATCTTGCTTCCTAAAAATCCTCCTGCATGGGGCAGGAGTGTGAAACCCACTGCTGGGGCCCAGGCTGGTACCACTTCCATTGAGACAGTGAATCTGAAACAAACCCAAAGATGTTGATTGGCAGAGCAATTTTTAAATGCAACTACAAAAATTTTCCATTTTTAAGCAGACTTTTAAAATATACACGTGTAGGATCTGATCCACAGGCTAGTCTTGTCACTGAGAAAGACTGCAGCTGAAATTAACGGATCTTGTAGGAAGTTCACTGGACAATACTCACCCCCATAAAGGAACCTATTGTTTACATTGCAGGGCGGGAAAGAGGGGGAAGTGATGCCTTTATTTCCCTTTCAGCTTTGTGCACTAAGATTACTGAATTTTACCTACATAAATATCCTCACCCATCAGTATGCCAGAGGAATGAAGCGGTTAGATATTACATGAACTGTACTTGGAAAATAAGACGTATGAGTTTCTGTATTCACCAAAAAGCCTATTCACTCAATGAAATGGTGCAGTCAAAGAAAAGCGTGTGTGCTTTCCTGTGGTCAAGCAAAATAGTTGTATACGTTGGGTTGCATTTTTAGCCTCAAAAGTGTGCTGAGGATACTCAGTGGCTAGTAAGTGATGTGAATTAGTAGGAGACACTTGAGAAGCTGCCTCAGAAAATAAACACAAGGGAGGGCAATGAGAAGATAAGTACTTAAATGGTGTTTTGCTAAACAAGGAAGGAGATGTCAGTGGATAAATGGGGAGTACACCTGTGGTGTCTTCAGGAAGCATTCCATCAGTTGCAGCAATCTTACCTCCCAAACCCATAAAGTGTACTGGATTAAACTTGCTTACAGAAGTAAGACTAAGTAATGCCTTGCTCTGGTAGGCCATGCTGCTTTAGTTAGAGTACAGGCAGCAGTAAAAAAGGTAAGCAGGAAAAAGCTTCATTGCAGATTTTCTGGCGAAAAGCCAAATGGTACAGAAAAGCTGCGTTTAGCTAAAATGTCAACAGATTCGAGGTATGATAAAAAAGGGCAGAACCGAAACACGTTATTTTTTCAAATATACAGTACGCAAATACACCCAATTCCTGTTCATCTGTTATGCAGGAGGGGGAGACAGCAGGAAAGAATCGTAAGAGAGATTGCAGCAGTGAGGAGAGAGCAGCTGTGGAAGCATGTGAGAGTCGGTCCGAAGTTGGCTCGAA